TCAAAATTTTCCCCGGCCCCCCCTTTCATTTTGGGGTTGTTTTTTTTTTTTTTTTTTTTTTTTTTTTTTTTTGGAAACATTTTCAAACCCCCTCTTGCAAATCCTGGATCCGCCCCTGACTGTTTTTACTGCTGTTGCTATATGATATTACTACAATTTCTATCGCTACTGCTATTGCCAATACCGTACGTCTGCTATTACATATTGCCATTACTTTCTATAGGCCCTATTACTACTTAGGTCTCTATTGCTATTAATTAAACATTACTAATAAATATGGGTTATTAATATATACTGGGTCAATATTAGGCCTAAATATGCAATCTCGGTCATGTAGTTAAAAATCACCTAAAATCACCATATTTTGAGTATTAGCACACCTCAACTGATCATCGAGCGTCCCCCGGCACCCACCCACTTCACCTTTGCCCCACCCCCCAATATCAGCACCCCATTTCAAGACTGCTAGATACGCCACTGCTCTACCGACATTCCAATTGAAACCCCATTTGGTAAATATTAGTGGGTCATTAGGGTGGATCCAGCCCTTTAAGAAAGAGGGGGCGTGAATATGCGAACTGAGTGCGAGTCTCAGAGAAGAGACCCTGGTATGGGTTCCAGGGGTTAATCCCCTTTAAACCTCCAGACCTTTCATAAATTTGAGTTTTTATTTGATTTATTTTTTTACTTAGGATGGTAATTTTTTGAAATACTTTACAGAAACAGAGGGGCGTACGCCCATTTGCCCCCCCCCCCACTCTCTCTAAATCCTCCACTGCATTTTATGGTGGGTTATTATTAAGCCCTCCAGACTGCCAAACTCTATTAAACAAAAACATCTGACATGCCTTAATATGGTCATGGTGACTTCACATCATGTCCATATTACCTTGCAATTCATATTTCTACAATCCATTCTTATTCTAGGACCTCTAATGAAATCCATCTTCCCCAGTCCAAACTAACACTTCTACAATTCCTAACATCATCCGGTATATAGTGGATCCAAATTATTCAACCTGTGCTCACTCTGAAGAAATTTCATCTACCTTCAAAATTATATTTCTATGCGTTTTTTTTTTTTTTTTTTTCTTTCTTTCTTTCTTTTTCTGTTCTTTGTTACGTTTCTGATGTGCTTTGAAATTATCATTGTTTATTTTATTGGGCTAGCCTGAAACAACTTTCAGTTGATCTTTTCAACCGAATTTACATTCAGGGCTGCTGCCTCTTTCATTGTTTTATTAGGCCGACTATTACTTATACAGTTATTCCAATATTATCATTGCTCAATTTCATTATTTTCTACTGTTAAATATCTAAGAAAAGATAAAAGAAATAAATGTTGTTTCAAATTTCATTGTTCACATATTTGTTCGATGACAATAAAGTATTCTTGATTCTTGTTGAAAAAAAAATGAAAAAAAATTAAAAATATAGGTACATCGTAACTATATTTGGACATGCACAGGTGTTTTATCAAAGGAAATTTGATAATCGAGACAGAGCTCGGAGCATGTATCAAAAATGAAATACAGGACAAAAAAAACCCAATTGTATGCCAATATATATAGTCATGATGTGCCTATATATGGTCTTGATGTGATGACAACATGACCTTATTTAGGTGTCACATGCTTTTGTCAAATAACATTTGATAGTCTAGCCAAATTTGTTTATTGTGGATGATGTATGATAATGTGTTGAGGGGTGTAAAACACATATCACATGAGACACCAGAAAATGAAAAAAAAAATGCGAATGGTATATTTTATTATAATTATTGTAAATATTGTTATTGCTGTTATTGTTTGCTATTGGTATTGTAGTTTTATTATTGGAGCAGCGCAGTGCTTCTAATTCACACTACGTACTATAATTTGCTATGCGCTAATAATTGATGATTTAAGATTCAAAATTAAAATGTATGCCTATAATTACTTATTTTATTAAAAGACCATCAAAGTAAATTAAAAATAGAAACATGCACTTAAATGTTAAAATTTATCGCATATGAAGTATATATACGTTACTATTTATTATCATTTCTGTTATCAGATCATGTAATGTACTGATGTGATGAGACCTAAGCTGCATGGTTCACCACAAAAGACCAAAAAAAAAATGTTAGCATGTCGCAATAATATAAGCATACACTGCTTGTTGTGTTTATATAATATATATTTGTATACCTATGTTATATAATCATAATTCTGTATACACTATTGTTTTTATATCTGCATGATGTATTTTTATATGCTTTTAATAATAAAAAGACATTAAAATGTACAGTACAATTTAAGATGAGGCCTTAAAACATAGGCTTAACAATAATAGTAATGACAATTATTATTATTATTATTATTATTATTATTATTATTATTATTATTATTATTATTATTATTATTATTATTATCTTATAATTTTATCTGACTGTATCTTCCGAGAAAAATTTGTTGTTAAACGTAATATGTTAAGATAAAAGTTGTGATCCAAGCCCCAAAACCTTGACTCAGAAAAACCGGGTTGGTGTCCGGCGGGGGATAGTTTTTACCATATTGTAGTTAAGTTGTAGTTAAGCTTAATCTTGAGCCGTAATTCCTGGCCCCGAAACCTTGACTCAGAAGTACTAAGTTGGTGTCCGGCGGGGGCTAGTTTTTAACCAAAGTTTTTACTATTG